TTACTACAACACGATTATTAAATGATTGTTATAGATGTTATATAATGTTATTTGGTAAGATCAACGTTAGCCAACCAAGCACACTGTACAGTTTTACTACAAACATTTTAATGCAATTATTACACATTACAACACTTTATATTATCATTTACTACCATAGTTACAATAATGCCCGTGCATTATTCTAACACATTAATGAATCACTTCACTAATAATAAATATAAGGCTCATTTCATCAGTCACTAATTATAAACAAATAGTATAATAACGCTCACATATCACTACATCACTAATCATGAACTAATCTAATAACGCTCACGCATAATACATCCCTAATCACAAAACAAAAAACAATATGGATCACGCATGATTGCATCACTAATAATAAACCAAGAATAGAATAATGCTCACATTAATTCATCACTAATAATAAAGCTACAATATAAGGGTCACACATTAATGCATCACCAATAATAAAACAATAATATAATAATGCACACGCATTAATTCATCACTAATCATAATCCAGTAACAAAGTTAACATTAATATTCTTCTTTAATTTTCTATTTCACAGACAATAGATTAAATGTAGTACAGACTAAAATATAAGTAACTTCAATTTAAAGTAATAGTTTGAATGCACTGCTTTTACATGTAATAGAACAGTAGTTTTCAAAATGTAGCAAATATTTTCTTTTTGAAAATGAAAATATTGTCTTTAAAAAATTGACATTACAAAGAGATAACATAGAATAAAATTTCACTTATTTGCTGTCTCAACTAGGACAAACATTGTTATTAATGGTATAATTATTTTAATATCTCACCACCCGTTTACTGCCACAGTATCACAGTGTCTTTCTCCAACTACGGCTGTAAATAGTTGGCTAAAATCTGTTTGTCTGCAGACATTGCTCCAAATATCTTCTTTGTGTTCCTCAAAACAGAGACATTTAAATGTATTTGGTACAACTTGAGGGTGAGTCAATTTTTAAATTTGTGTAACCTATGTATTACTTTAACCAATGTGTTACTAGATGGAACCTCGATTCAGGAGACGGAATGATGGCAGCCTGAATCTGACAGATACAGTGGAGGCAACAAAAGTGAAGGAAGCTAACAAAGGAAAGCCATACAGAAAATCACTGTCCCCAGAGGCAGAACTGGACAAGGCCAAAAAAGCTTAAATGAGCACCATGGAGATGTGACTAACAGAAAACATCTGCTGAGTTTCTTTGAAGAGGGGCCCCACAGGAGTAAGCAAAGGCTCCAAAGAACATGCCCACAATAAAGTGAGTTTTAGAGAATATATTGACCTCTTTTCTTCTGGCAGAATTGCCTTTGCCATGAAGGAAGAGCATTATGATGGGAAACCACCTAGCAGTCTGCCACGGCCTAGCACTCTGCCATGACCCAACACACTGCTCCTACCAAGCATTTTGCTTCTACCCAGCACTCTGCCCAGGGTACCCCCAGGATCCTCCAAATGAAATGCAAGGCTTTTTAAGACCTTTTCAATAACATTTCAAATGAAATTTAATGACAACTTTGTACCCATTCCGGCAAAAGTATGAGGGAAAAATGTAAAATCTGTATAAAGACTGAACCCTAGTAAAAAATTATGTACAATTGGGCTACTTGAATTAAGTAAAGCATTTTATTTCAATTTTCTGTTATATTTAATACATACGCAACAGTGTGGTCAGCACCCAGTAGTGAATATGAAGGTCAAACATGACTGAAAACCCGTTGTCACATGTTACAGTGCCCTTTTTTGGACACTTGAGGTCACTAGCTTGTTTTGTAGTTTAACTTCATTTCCTATAATCCTTTGCACTTCTGATTGTATTCTGTTACAGCTGTTTCTTGTTTGTTAATTTAGCCCTGTATTTATAAACCCTTTTGTCTTGTGTTTTAGTTGCCTTAAGATTTTGTTTGTCCCTCACGTCCGGTATGTTTGTTTGGTGATCTAGTTTTGTATTGGCTTATTCTTAGATTCTTGTTTGTTTTTGTTAACACTTATACCCATTTTTGTATTTTTTGTCAGTTCTTTTGTCTGGACTCATTTCTTGAAGATTCTGTGCAAGATTGGGAAACTCCTTTTGTCTTTGTCTAAATAAATTGCTGCACATGGATTTTTGTGTTTTGTGATTCTCCATCTCATGACACCCCTTGGCCCTATTTACCTGGTCAGTCAGTTCTTTAGTTATAAAAGGATTTGAATTAAGTAATATATGCAGTTTTGTTACTTCCACTCAAAAGTGTAACTGCAATCTCAGAGTCAGAAACCATGGTTTTAAAAACCTCTGTAATGTTCTTATTCAGTGTGAAAGAGTGGTGCACAGGGATTGTTTTAAAGACCCACATCACATCTGCCTGCAGAGCTGGTGTTGAGCCACGGTAAGGTAGGATGTTCCTTTGCTGTGGTGGCAGTGTTGGGCAAACTACTTGAAAAATGTAATGAGCTAAGCTATTAGCTACTCTACTTAAAAGCTTACCTCTTAGAATTGTATCAAGCTAAGCTATAAACTCCTTGGCAAAAGTAGCCTAGCTACATCTAAGCTATTTTTTCAATTCTCATATTTAAATCGAAGCAACTTAAATCCAAGTCAATCATATCTTATTGATCAATAAAACTGTCAATGAAACATAATTCAGTTCAGTTATTTACTGTAAATAATATGCTGTACCAAACAGAAACAAATTATAGTATATAACAGCAAAAACTAAAAATCCAATAAAACCAGGTGTTACACAAATTAAATACTATAGTCATTTATAGTAAAGGGAAATACTTTACAATAAGCATTATATTGTATATATATTTACAACTCTTCATCAATGAAGTACACCCTAATCTAATCTCTCTGTCATCTTTCAATCAAGCATGTTTCTCGTGTCAGCCCAATGATTGTTTGGTGACATCACCAACCAGAGTGAGAGGTGGCAGTAACGCATCAAAAACTTTGTTATCGACCACCGTAAAACAGGAAGAAGAAACTGTCATTCTTCTAATGTAGAAATTTCTTCATTACTGATTGTTAAAGCTGTTACAGTAATCAAAGAGGTTTCCGCTGCACAGAACTGCACAATAGGTGGTTGGCACTGACAAGCAGTACTACACGCGGTGTGTTTGGCAACCCCCCATATGGGAGTCCAGGGCCGTAACACCCATTGTCGCTAACGTTAGCTTAAAAGATTTCCGGCATCAACAGCAATAGGCGTTGCGGTCATTTCCTGGCACAGGCTTAACCCAAACGCAATTCGGATTCCTTGGCCACAGCGACAGTTTCCCATTTTAGCCGACAAACTGGGCTAGCCACTATCTTGTTCTGTGCCTCACCTCAAGTAACCATATGACGGGTGCGCACGCTTTCTGCTATGACGTGGAGCGCGAGGTGCACTCAACGTTACGCTGCATGAATTTTTAATTAGCCTACATTAGTAACAGTTCATTTTGTTACGTTATGAACTTAATTCTAGGAAAGGCAAAAATAAATGAAGAAAATTAAGACCTTTGTAATGAAATTTAAGACTTTATTTACAAAATTCAAGACTATTAAGGCCTTCATTTGAAATTATGAAAATTAAGAGTTTTTCAATGCTTTTAAGACCCCACGGGTACTTTGGACATGGACCTTCAGCATGCAGTGGGACGGTTTGCTGCTAAGTGTGACATGGCAGGAAAAAAAACAGCAGCTCAGAAACCATAGTGCTTGACTGGAAAAAGGTGGCCATCTCCAGTTTGGAGGAGAGTCCTTACCCCAAATAGAGTTCAGGTATCTGCGTTTTTTTTTTTTTTTTTCTTCATGAGGAATGGAATGTGAGATTTAAAGATGGATCAGTGCAGCAGCAGCAGTAATGCAGTTGATGTGATTGTCGGTTGTGGTTAAGGAGCTGAGATGAAAGGCAATGTTCTCAATTTACCACTCAGTCTAGGTTCCTACTCTTACCTATGGTCATAACTGAAAGGACAAGATCTCGGATACAACCAGACACATTTTACAAAGTGTTATGACCCGCTTGTTTGAGTTGCAACATAAAAGAGAGATGAGCCAACAAAATAGCTTGAATGCAAATGATTTACACTGTTAACCCTTACTGTAGATTATGCAGTAAATAACTGTAAAATAGCCAGTGTTTTTCTGTAATAAAAGGAAACAGTATTTTACTGTAAAAGGAGCAGGATTTGTATGAAATTTTGTAGTGCAAAGAATAAATTACAGTAATTTACTTTATGTACCCATTACAGATAGTTACTGTGATAATAAATGGTAAATTACTGCTCAAACATGATTACCCCATGTACTCTGATGCTTTATGTTGCTATATATATATATATATATACTATTCAGTTTTGGTATGTGTATGGTCAGTATTGAGGAGAAAGTGAGACAATGCATTGATGATAAGCTAATTTTCTCTGCGGCGATCTCTGTGTTTTCTTTGGTTCCTTTTATGTTTTTAACATTGAGTATCAGGAGTCAACCAATGTCTGTCACAGAGCTAATTAAAAGGTAAAGATATTGACGAGATGCATTTAAAGGCAAAAATATTCACACAGAGCAACCAAATTATCACAATCATTAATATATAACTTTGTTTACTTTTCTATAATTATTTAAAAAATATCTTAAACAGCACGTACATACATTTTCGCAGAGACTCAATGAATTTGTTTGAAAAACTTCAAATGAAGTTGGTAAAAAATGGCATTAACAGTATAGTATAAAGACTTTCCTAAATAAATGTATTAATCAAGTTATTTGTTTTTTTTGTTTTTCTTTATTTTTTTGCTTTGGATGAAGTTTTTTATATTTTTATTGTTTTTATTCAATGATATGTACATGATTGTGATAAATGTAGGCAATTCCTTTGAAAATATGCTATGTACCAGGGATGTCAAACCCCTGAAGGGCCGCAGCCCAGCAGAATTTAGTTCCAGCCCTGCTTCAACACACTACCTTTAGATTTAGTTTGATCAGGTGTGTTTAATTAGTATAACTGCACTGTTACTCTGTAGATTATGCAGTAAACAACTGTAAAATAGCCAGTGTTTGTAAATAATTCATTGATTCATGTCTTCTGTGCAACTTTTTGTCCAAATGTTTCTTAAGCTGTGCCGAATGAGTGAAACTCTGTAGACACTGATCAGATCTGTACGGTTTCTCACCAGTGTGAATCCTCTTTTGTGTTTTCAGATGTGTTAACTGATTAAACCTCTTGTCAGTTTGAAGACTTGTATGGTCTCTCCAGTGTGAATCGTCTCGTGCAGTTTCAATTTGAGCTGTAATAAAAGTCTTCTCACACTCAAAGCACATATACTCGTTCACACCAGTGTGGATCTTCATGTGTTCATTAAGGTTTGCTAATCTGTTGAAACTCTCCCCACACTGAGTCCATGTGATTGGTTTCTCTCCAGTGTGGGTCTTCATGTGTTTATTAAGTTCTGATGAGTTGCTGAAACTCATCCCACATCGAAGCTGCAGTCACACTAGTGTTTGAGCATGAGAAATTCTGTTGTATGACGCTGCAAAAGGAGTGGGATTAAACAAGATGATTAGACATTCTAGTTTCTCTCCAGTGTGGCTCATGATGTGTAGATTAAGGGATGATGATTGGCTGAAGCTCTTCCCACACAGAGTGCATGTGAATGGTTTCTCTCCAGTGTGGATTTTCATGTGTTTATTAAGGGACGATGAATGGTTGAAACTCTTCTCACACTGGGTGCATGTGAATGGTTTCTCTCCAGTGTGGATCCTTATGTGTTTATTAAGGGATGTTGATTGGCTGAAACTTTTCCCACACTGAGTACAAGTGAATGGTTTCTCTCCAGTGTGGATTTTCATGTGATTGTTAAGATGTGATGATCGGTTGAAACTCTTTCCACACTGAGTGCATGTGAATGGTTTCTCTCCAGTGTGGATCCTCATGTGTAGATTAAGGGATGATGATCGGTTGAAACTCCTCCCACATTGAGTGCATGTGAATGGTTTCTCTCCAGTATGAATCCTCATGTGTAGATTAAGGTATGATAATTGGTTGAAACTCTTCCCACACTGAGTACATGTGAATGGTTTCTCTCCAGTGTGGATCCTCATGTGTAGATTAAGGGATGATGATCGGTTGAAACTCCTCCCACATTGAGTGCATGTGAATGGTTTCTCTCCAGTATGAATCCTCATGTGTAGATTAAGGTGTGATAATTGGTTGAAACTCTTCCCACACTGAGTACATGTGAATGGTTTCTCTCCAGTGTGGATTTTCATGTGATTGTTAAGGTGTGATGATTGGTTGAAACTCTTCCCACATTGAGTGCATGTGAATGGTTTCTCTCCAGTGTGGATCATCATGTGAATCTTAAGATAGTCTTTTCTTCCAAAACTCTTTCCACACTGAGTGCAGGTGAAACGATTCTTGTCACTCCTTTTCAAAATACCATTAGTCTGTAAATTAGTTTTTTCCTCAATTTTGACATGATGTTCCTCCTCTTTTCTCCCCTTATTCTCTTCAATTCGGTCTGAAAAAAATAAATAAAACATTAGTTTTCATTAAGTCTTAAAGTTTCTCATTAAAAGCTGAAAAGTGAAAAGACACTGGAAACATTGGCTACACTCACTGTAATTTTGATGCACATTAAATGTAAAATAAATCAGATCATATTCAATCCAAGATGGCGACGCGTGCACAATGCGAGGCTCAGGGTCTTTCCAGTTTCTGCATTTTTGCAGTATTATTCCTGCTCATTTCGGGTCTGTTCGTGCAGAACAGTGGTGCCTTTACATTGTATACCCAACAGGAGCTTTTGGATTGGTTTGTGGATTCCGGACAGTTTTATTAGCAATCTTCGACTCATCCATGAGACTGCCAGAACACCTCGGGCTGGGCGGAAGTGCTCACAGACCGCGCATAGAATGTAAACAAAGACCGGGGAAGCGCGGCGGGCTAAAAGCTAAGCTAAAGCTAACTCCACACCAGCTCACTTTACCCAGCATCTTTCTCGCCAATGTACGGCCACTGGTGAACAAAATGGATAAGATTCGACTGTGCATCAACCACAGCAAAAGATTATGGAACTGTAACATCATGATTTTCACAGAAACATGGCTAAACAGTGGGATACCAGACAACGCTGTATCGCTAAAGGAGCACCACACATTCCGAGCGGACAGAACGGCGGATGACTCCAGTAAGACCAGAGGCGGAGGATTATGCATTTATATTAGCAAAGCTTGGTGCACAAACTCTGTCGTCGTTGGGAGACATTGCTCTGCTAACCTGGAATTCCTAATGGTTAAATGTAGACCTTTTTACCTACCACGGGAGTTCACATCCACCATAATATCTGCTGCTTATATTCCTCCCGACACTGATGCAAAGCTGGCTATGAACAAACTTCATGCAGCCATCAGCAAACAACAGAATGCTCACCCGGAGGCTGCTTTTATTGTTGCGGGGGATTTTAATCACTCAAGCTTAAAGACAGTGCTACCTAAATTCCATCAAAACATTCTCTGTCACAGAAGGGGAAACAAAACATTGGACCATGTTTACACAAACATAGCTGAAAACATAGCTGAAGCCTATGCTGTGACCCCCCTCCCCCACCTGGGTCAGTCAGATCACCTTTCTTTGTTCCTTACCCCCAAATACTCATCGACCGTGTGAAGCCATCAGTGAGGACCATCAAAGTGTGGCCAGCGGGGGCAGACTCCACACTCCAGGACAGGTTTCAACACACAGACTGGGGTATGTTTGCTTCCCAGGCCACACATGGCTCTCACACAGACATTGACAGTTACACTTCCTCTGTTCTGGAATATATTAACACCACCATAGACAGTGTTACAACCCAGAAACTAATCACCACATACCCGAATCAGAAGCCATGGATGAACAAGGAGGTGCGCCTCCTGCTGAAGGCACGCAACACTGCCTTCAGATCAGGGGATGCACAGGCCTACAGCACTTACAGGGCTAATCTGAAGAGGGGCATCAAAAAGGCCAAGCACTGCTACAAGCTTAAGCTAGAGGAGCACTTTTCCAACTCTGATCCTTGGCGCATGTGGCAGGGCATCCAGGCCATCACCAACTACAAACCCAGCCAGTCCACATCCACAGACGTCTCCTTCCTGAACGAGCTAAATGACTTTTATGCCCGCTTTGAAAAAGACAATAAAGAACCCTACACCAGGATCACTTCCTCCACCAACCACTCACCTATCACACTCACCTCCTCAGAAGTACACATCGCACTGAGTGGTATCAATGGGCGTAAGGCTGCTGGACCAGACAGTATTCCTGGGCGTGTCCTCAAAGTATGTGCAGAACAGCTCACTGGGGTATTCACAGACATTTTCAACCTGTCGCTTAACCTAGCAGCTGTGCCAACATGCTTTAAAACCACCTCTATTGTGCCAGTGCCCAAACACTCCAGCCCAACATGCCTAAATGACTACCGCCCTGTAGCACTCACACCCATCATCATGAAGTGCTTCGAGCGGTTGGTCCTGGCACATCTAAAAGACTCTGCCATTCACACTGGACCCACATCAGTTTGCTTACCGTGGCAACAGGAGCACAGAGGATGCAGTCTCTATAGAACTGCACTCTGTACTCACACACCTGGACAATAAAAACACTTATGCACGAATGCTGTTTGTGGACTTCAGCTCAGCATTCAACATTGTCATACCCTCCAAGTTACTGATCAAACTCAGAGACCTGGATATCGACACATCACTATGCAACTGGATTATGAACTTTTTGACTAACAGACCTCAGAATGTTAGATCAGGTCACATCTGCTCCACCAGCGTCACACTCAACACTGGTGTACCACAGGGCTGTGTGCTGAGCCCCTTCCTTACTCCCTTTTTACCGTTGACTGTAGGCCTGTTAATAGATCCAACACCATCATCAAATTTGCAGATGACACCACAGTGATTGGTCTAATCAGCAATAATGATGAGACGGCCTACAGGGAGGAGATACAGCATCTGGCCACTTGGTGCACCGACAATAACCTGCTCCTTAACACCAACAAGACCAAGGAGCTCATTGTGGATTTCAGAAAGGGACGAACAGGCTCACATGATCCCATCCACATCAATGGGATGGCCGTTGAGCCTGTCTCATCCTTTAAGTTCCTGGGGACCCACATCTCAAAGGACCTTTTCTGGTCCACCAACACCTCCAGCCTGATCAAGAAGGCTCACCAGCGCCTATTCTTCTTAAGGCAACTGAAGAAGAACCAGCTTTCATCAGCCGTCCTGGTGAACTTCTACCGCTGCACAATAGAGAGCATCCTGACAAACTGTGTCACAGTCTGGTATGGAAGCTGTTGCTGTTGCTCAGCTCTGTTGCTGAGCATAAGGCACTGCAGCGGGTGGTGAAAACTGCCCAACGCATCACAGGGACCACACTGCCAGCCATAGAGGACATCCAGAAGAAACACTGTTTGCGCCGAGCACGCAGTATTCTGAAGGACACCTTTCACCCTGCTCACAGACAGTTTTCTCTCCTGCCCTCTGGCAGGCGCTTCAGGCTCCCCCGGACAAAAACCAGCAGACTGAGGAACAGCTTTTTCCCCAGAGCTGTCTCCCTCCTGAACTCTGCCCCACACTGACTCTTTTGCCCCCCCAATACACCCCCCACTCTCCTCTAACTTAAACTCCTCGCAATAACTGCACTGTTTAACATTTGCACGTTTAAAATTTGCACATTCACTGCACCACATTGAACTGTTTACTTATTGAACTGTACATATTCACTGCATATGGACATTTGTATGTATGTACACACCCACTATACATATACACTTGTAATCATGCTTATTTATCTGCATACTACTGATTATTAATAGCAACCTGTACATATATTCATATATTGGTACATATACACTTGTAATCATGTTTATCTATCCCTGTACATATATTGTAACATATACACTTGTAATCATGTTTATCTATCTGCACACTACTGATTATTAATAGCAACCTGCACATATATTCATATATTGTAAATCTGTTCATAGCTTATCCAACCTCTATATAATGTTCATAGTACATCCATCTGTAAATATCACCATAGTTTTCTATAACTGCACTTTATAACTTATTCCTGTATCCTGCACTTGCTGCTATTGCCCTGCTGGTTAGACCTAAACTGCATTTCGTTGCATTGTACTTGTACATGTGTAATGACAATAAAGTTGAATCTAATCTAATCCAATCTAATCTATATATATCGAGAGAAAGAGAGAGAGAGAGAGAGAGAGAGAGTGCTAAGAACACATGTCACAGATTTCTCTTTTAAATTAATATTTTCTACAGGATGCTTTACAATAATATTTGTGCATATACATTAAATTTTTCAGTACCAATACAAAGTTATATATACAGTCTTTTATGAGAATACTGCAGGTCAAATATCGTCAGCATGGTTAAACCTTTTATTAATTTATTGTTTTTATTTACTTTATAAAGCACCAAGGACGCTTTACAAACAGCAAAAGAACAAGAAAAGTAATAACGTTAAGAAAGTAGAGAAAATAAGAGACTAAAATACATAAAAGAATGACAAAAGACCTGAGAACAAGTAACGAAAGAAACTGATTCTGTCTTTCGATGAGTGTTTATGTGCATTTAGGAGAACTAAGCAGCACACTCAGGGCTGCAAGATGGATTTAATTTAGTATTCTTATTATTAAAATATATCTGAATGAGGATCAAATGACTGAGTTGGTCTTTGAGAAGGAAAACTAACCTGTTTGTTCCTGCAGATCTTCCTGTTTGACTGTGAATGTTTCTTCAATCTTCACATCTTCACTCTCCTCTTTAATAAACGCCATCTTTATAACAGTGTGGAGATCAGTCGCTTCAACAGGAGTTTTTCTCTGCGTTTTGACACTTTATCCTGTTTAAAATGAACAAAACAATAAAACTGTCCTGTTTAAAATAAATAAAACAATGAACAGAAACAAAATAACTTCTCTTCAACACTTGCTTCAAGTTTCTTTTTATTATCAAATAGAAATCAGGTAAAACATTTCTTTAAGAATAGAGGTAAAGTTGGTTTTATATTTCGCACATTCGAACTTTTCCCTTAGTAATATAATTTCATTAAAGTATTATTTGCAAGCTCTAAATAGCGAAATCATAATAGCAGCAAATGACTATCAAAATACAACATTGTTCACAGTCAAATAAACAGTGTTAATGTTGTTTTCAAGTCACACTTGCATGCTAATTCTGATCAAATATTCAAAGTAGCATGGTAAACAATATAGAGACCGCTAAATGAACAAATCTGCGAATATAAAACCAACTTTACCTCTATCAGAAAAGTTTGGGAAACC